TGAGCCCACTTGAGTGTGGATGGTATAACCAAGGAACTGAGTTTTCAATTTTATTGAATTTCAACTAATCTAAATAATAATTATTATTACTTTAGCGACAGGGTCTTGCTCTTTCACTCAGGCTGGACTGCAGTGGCTTGATCACAGCTCACGGTAGCCTGGAACTCCTGGGCTCAAGCGATCGTCCCGCCTCAGCCTCCTGTGTAGCTAGAACCCCAGGCACATACCACCACACCCAGTTAATATTTTTAACTAATTTAAATTTAAATAGGCATGTAGCTAGTGGCTACCATATTAGACAGCCCAGATCTAGGATGTATTCTGTCCCATTTCTTCTTCTTAAAATCCTGACCTTCAAGGGGCATCTCAGGGCTGCTTTCTCCATGAGGTCCATCTCCCTGATGGGACTGTTTTTCCTCCCTCGGAATTCCCATCTCACACTGAACTCTTACTGAGGCACTAAACACTCTTAACCTTATATTATAGATATTTGTGTGGCATTTCCTCTACTAGTTCCTTCTCTGAGAGCTTTGACTACTCTTATTCTTAATTTGGACCCCACTGTACCTAGTGCAGAGATACTTTAAAATGTTTTTGCCTGAATATATAACAGTAACACTGCAATTAACATTAACAATAAGGAATTGACAAGAGTTGCTGTGTAGTAAAGGACTAACCGTGCCCCAAAAAAGGTTTGAGCCTTGGTCCCAGCTCCTGGGAGGCAACCTCTGTGCCCTTGGAATGTCCTGTGAGATAGAAGGGTCTTTGTCTACTGGGGCCTTGGGCCACACCAGGTAATCTATGCCAACAATGTGATTTATGATAGGTGCCCTGGACCTCAAGGTACCAGCTCAACCTCTGGAGGGGCAAAAGACTAAAGTCAGCCATGTGGGCAATCAGCCATAAATCCATGACCGACCCCAGTAAAAAAACTGTACACCGTGGTGAGCTTGGGTGAGTTTCCCTGGCTGGCAATACTCCATGCACATTGCTACGCATCATTGCTGGGCAAAATTAGCTCTATCTGTGTAACTTCACTGGAGGAGGACAGTTGAAAGTTCTGGACCTGGCGTCTCCCAGACCCTGCCTTATATGCTAAAGAGTAAAAGCAACAACAAACAGAATGGGTCTATGGCGTAAATGGGGTTGAAGGAGGGGAAAGAGCAGAAGTACATCATGCCACATGTAGAATGAGCACAGCTTAGAGAAGATCTCTAAGGAAAGAGACTCTATTTTTTCATTTCCACAGTACCTGATGCACAGTGGGACCTCGATATTTAAAGAATGGTTGAATGGATGGCTAAATGAATAATCTCCTCTAATATTGCAAAATCCTGTGGGTTGCCATACTCCCACAGGCAAATCATTTCCTGTCTGGGATCTGAGCTCTTTTCCCTTCTAGGTAGGCACTTAATCCAGTTGTATAGGTTTATGGGGATTTTTTGTTCCTAATTTCCTATCTCCTATCCAGAATGCCCCTAACCTTGCACTTCAGTTCTTCCTTTTCCCTCCACAGCTGAATCCTAGACATCCTGAGGGTCTAAGAATGTCTAGGAGGCATTTGAGTCCTTATTTATAGGAGGGGAGTTCTTGTTAACTAGTTCACACACAAGAACAGAAGGTCCCAGAGAGACGTGAAGTGTGACATGAGACATAGCACGAACAAGGAGTAGCCCCATGAAGTCTGGGGTCAGGGTAGCTGGAGGGCTCCTGGGCTCCTCTGAGAGATGAGTGCTGCTCAGGGTGGTCCAGTAGCTGCCGCTCTGTCTGGTGAGGGGCATGTGGTCAACAAGTCCACCTGTCAATGACTGGCCAGGCCCCCTTGATGTCTATGCCCTCTTCTAGGAACAGCCTTGGAACCCCTAGGAAAACACTGACCAATAAATTAAGTTGAAAAAAATGTAGGAGGCAGGGAATATCAACCTAGAGTATTTGTCAATGGCATGGGTGTTCTGGAAGATAC